AAATTTGGAAGAGGTGTAAGTGATTTAAGGAAAAACTAAATAGCTTCCAATTTTACCAGTATCAAGCTAGCAAACAGCATGTACACAGAAAAAACTGACACAACCACCCCTTGGCCAGTAGCCTGAAAACAGGCAGTCACTGATTCAATGAAAGTAACTGAGCAGCTCAGCACTTTTACTAGTAAGTAGGTAAATATACACTATAATTTTGTTTAGTTCTAGCTCATAAAAGAGAAAACAAGTTGTACAATCACTGTCACTGAGAAAACAGGCTGGCAATTAACACAAGCTCTCTTGATCTCCTTAGGTTTTATCTTCCATCAATCAAAAGAAAAAAAACCAGTTAACCTGTACACCTTTGTTATGCCACAAAGCCTGAAACAGTGGCTTAGTCTGAAACAGAGGCTTAGTCTGAAACAGCAAATAAAAGGTGAAGTGTAATTTTGTGGTTGCTATTGTAAGCTTATCTGTCTTCAACCTTCATAATTTTTCATTAACTATTAATGAGCAGAGTTCTGAAAACATGGGAGTTGTCTACACCTTAAGTGCTCACAAGAGAACAAAACATTTTTTGCTTATGTGGCCAGCTGGACTGTGGGAACTTGGTTTTCCCAGAATAGCTTTCACTCATGTCTTTTCTGCCCTAAAATTCCACAGAGATTATGTGGCAAAATATGGAAAGTTGAGAAATATTTGGGTATTTAGATAATCACAATGTGATGTGAGGGATGTAATTCTCAGGTTTAGATTCATCTTCATATTTGTCTATTAAGTTCCTTTTATTTCAAACATAATGTTAATGTCCTACCAACCACTTAAATTCTGATCTAATCTTAACAGTACTTTTATCAGTGTCATTTTGTTAAACAGTTTTCTAATACAGTTGCATTTCTGAGAAAATGGTGGGAGAAAAATAAATATTAAGTTCACCTAAAACCAAACCATTCTAAATCAGTCTTAGTCTTTTGCAAAGTATCCAGAGTTCCAGCTGTAAGCTCTGGAGACCACATAAAAGCACCATTTTTCTAGGAGATGTTCCCATCTGGTAGATGTTCAGTGGGAAGTCACTATGGACATGTTTACAGATACCTCAGTCCCCTTGAACTCTTCATGGAAAGAGCTTAGCAGGGAATGCAGATGTAAGTAGGCTCCAATTTATGGTTAATATGTTTTATGGTTAATATGTTTTGACCATACAGCAAATCCTTTCTACTGCAAGCATGCAAGCTTAAGTGGGTGTGGGACTGGGACCTAACTGTGTGGTCTTGTGTGCCTGTTCCAAGGGATGGGGAAGGCTTTTGCTCTGAGTTTTCCAGGGAGTGTGCTAAATTTTGTCTCATGGCTGAGGTCTGCAGATACAGCACTGGCTGGTTCAAAGCCAAACCAAGAAAAATGAGAGGATTTTCTGCAGAAGACATATTCAGTTAAAACATCATAGAAAACCACACTATTTTAAAGCTGTGAAATAGATTTACTTAAAGTAACAACCTTCAGGAGTGTCTTGTTTACATAATTAACAGAACTGTACATGAATTTTGTTTAGGTGGTACCTTTTTTTTCTGAGCTGGCTCATTTTTTTTCACGTCCTTTTTTTTTTCCATGTTTGCTTGGTATAAAAATTTGCATGGTCTCAGTGAATAGATAGAGATAAGTCTTTCCCCAAAAAAGGAAGTTACTGAAATAACATAGCACTGTGAAAAATGTGTACTATCAGATGCCAGGGAACCTGACTGCCACACATTTTGAAGAAGATCATTTAAAAAAAAAAAACGCTGCATGAGTAATAGTGAAAATTAAAGTAATAGAAACATAATAGACAACTGGTGCCAATTCCTCTCCTACAAACTATTGTTTTTGAAAAGCAAAACAGCTGGAGGCAGATGTTTTATGTAAGTAAAAGGCTGGAGGGCTTTGGAATCACGTGCTGGAGAAATACAAAGCACTTCACACTTTCCAAAGCACCCTTATCGATGCCATTAAGTCACTCTTGCTCTGCATTTGAGCCAGTTAAACAAAACCCCGACATATTTTTAACATCTTAAAAATCTTATTTTATGCACCAAGCCAAGTTACTTATATCAAGACAATATACTATTTTTCCCAAATAAAAGGTACATTTTGTCATTTTCCTATGAACACAGGATGACACAACTACCCTGAGAAAAACCAAACTGGTGCATGAATATCATACTGTTTTGAACAGCCCTCTATAAATCCTATCATTGGTACCTCATATAAACACAAAGGATGAAAAGGTAAAGTATTTATCTATCTTTTTTTGTTTTCTATGTGATATTTTCTCTCCAGTCCCAAACATTTGTGGCCTACTGTGAAGTTTCCTTTCACCCTGAATCTCGAAAATGTTTAAATGTTCAAAAATGCAGGTAGACATTTTTGATGCTCTTGCTTCCAATTTCTAGGAAGATCAATGGGAGTTATGAGCCCACATGCATTAAAAAATTAATTTGTGTTTAGAAATTGGGCATTAGTGGGTATTTCAGTTTTCTTCAGAATTATCAAGAACAGAAAGTCTGGGTTTTTTCCATATGCCTGGTACATCATTCACTCTGAACCTGGCAATCAGCACCAAGTGAGAGGTAAGGAAGAGCAAACGTGTGTCCATAGGAAATAATTCACTTGCCCAGAGGGGCTGTGGACTGTCCATCCCTGGAAGTGTTCCAGACCAGCCTAAATGGGGCTCTGAGTAGGTGGAAGGTTCCCACCCATGACAGGGGGTGGAACTGGATGATCCTTAAGGTCCTTTCCAACCCGAACCATCCAGTGATTCTAATACATAAAGCTTATACAACAGCTTGTAGTCACTATATTTTTCACAGAGCCCTAGCTGTAAAATCAGGAGATTACTTAAAAGTCTCAGTGCTGGTTTTAGTAAGTGTGACAGTCCTCACGTCTTCAAAGGAAGACTGAAAACAGTTAAATTAATAAGTTAAATAAATTAATCCTCTAATCCTTAAGGTCCTTTCCAACCCGAACCATCCAGTGATTCTAATACATAAAGCTTATACAACAGCTTGTAGTCACTATATTTTTCACAGAGCCCTAGCTGTAAAATCAGGAGATTACTTAAAAGTCTCAGTGCTGGTTTTAGTAAGTGTGACAGTCCTCATGTCTTCAAAGGAAGACTGAAAACACATAATAAATTAATCCTCTGCACTCAGGATACTGGGAAACAAAGAGGGATCAAGAACTTAATTTTATTTTTACATTATTTAAAACATTCTCATTATTTTTCAACATTCTAGTTTTTCTTTCACAGTGCTGTGGCAGAAGGGTCTAGCAGGATGTTCTCACCATCTTCTGCCTGACTAAACTTGCAAAAGCGTTTGGTGGTTATCACATTACTGGACTTGAGATGATTTCTTCTGCTTTTGAAATGATACTTAGAATCACAGAATCATAGAATGGTATGGGTTGGAAGGGGTCTTAAAGATCATCTAGTTTTGACTAGATGCCATGGGCAGGGAACCTTCCAGTAGATCAGATTGCTCAAAGCACCATCCAGCCCGGCCTTGGGAAGTAATTTTTATTTAAAAGGAACTTAAACTAGAATTCTTTTTTTCCATCTTTGGTTAATAATTCTGTATCCCTGAACTATAGAAGACAGAACACAAAATCTGGGGAAAATTACATTTGAAACACCTAACAAAACAAATCTGCCTAGGGCTCATGAAAGAGTGTTTGAAATCTGAATTTGCATCACCCAAACTGTAAAAATTGACAAAGAAACAGAGAATGACTTTCATATACATTTTAGTGACAACACTACTGCTAAAGTCCCACACCTCACTCTAATTTCATATATGATTCAGAGTCTAGCCAGAGAAGTAGCACATTAATCCACTGCAATACTTAAAATAAATACAGTGTTTTAAAAAAAACCCAATCAAACAGAATGATCATATATTTTCTTCAAAGACAACTTGCTCAAGAAAAATACAGTAAGCCCACAGATTTGTTTCTGCTATTGTAAAGATTCTGCAGTTTTAGTCTGCTGTAATCATATAAATTCATCCATCCATAAACATAACTGCTGTAAGTCTTATTCAAGAAAAGCCATTAAAAATACCTGAATGGTAGAGCAAAAATAGCAGTCTGAAAAGCAAATAAACCATCCATAGCTATTTTTATAAGACTGAAACCACCTACACCATACTGTCAAAAATTACTTTTTCCCATGAATTTTAAAACTGTTTTATGTGGCAAAAATAATCACCCTTTGTGCCTATAGTGCAGTGTTTATATGTTTTCCCTTGTTCAGTTTTTGATACAGGAATAAATCATTGTTCCTGCAATTTTCCAGCAGTAGTTCCAGCTCTTGTAATTTCAGCCTGCATAGAACTGCATGAAAGGATACAAATCCTCTGATTTGGGAGAAAAATGAAAAAAGAAAAAAAACAAAACCTGCTCATGGGGTTCCTGTTGTCAGCAGAAAATATTAGTGAAGAGATTCAGTTGCAGATATCTTGCTACAAATTTTTTTCTCATCTCCAGTTTATTTCTACCACTTTATTTTCAAAGCATCTTAATTTTCTAGCTTTCCACCTCAGCTGTATTAGTAGTTATCCCTAGGGATATGAGTATTACTGTGAATCAGGTGCATGCCCAAGCATCCTTCCATCTCCAAAACCAGTCTAATTCTTTGTCCAGCTGTGGAGTATTGCATATGGCTCCTGGACTTCATTAGTTTAATCAGTCACCACAGCAGCATTTAATACAGTGCTTGTCACTGTTATGTTATAAATTATGGAGAATACGTCAAACACATTATGATTTTGCAATTAAAGAAAAAAACCTAAACAGTAAAGGAAGATCCTTACCAAGGCTCACAAATCAGCAGAGACCTTGAGCACATATTTAACTCATTTAACTTAAGTCATGCAAACAGATCCACTGATTTCACTAGGAATCTTCCTTTGCATCCCTTGAAATAAAACATTTTAATGAGTTTTTAAAAGGGTTAAAATGGTGCAAATACTCACTTCATGTCCGTTGCATCCATTAGCATTTCACTTCATGGGTTTCATGAAGGATTGACTTCATGGTTGTATTTCCCACACTACTGATCCTCATTGTCAGATGTCTTATTGGTCATCTGGACCTTTTATTTATAGCCTTATTCATGCTATGACCCCTAAACCAGGTTGGAAACCCATTTGTAGCACAGTTAAAGGGAGAGGTCACTTAGTAATACAAGGTTTTTAGGTTCTAGAGGCATGACATCTTGGAGACACCTGGATCCCAAGTATGCCACCAGGTCAACAGACCAGCCAAACTGAAGGATATTTCAGTGTATGGGTTATGCAGAGGATGCTAATCTAGGACAGGGCATGCAATGTAACAGAAATACTGCTGCTACTTCTGGCCACCAAACACCTACCAGAGAATAAAAGCAGCCTCTGGCCATTCAGAAGTTTACCACCTCTGACATAGACATAGAATTTAATAATGTCTTAACAGCTACAGGCATCCACTTATTGCTTCTCCTACTATAAATGCTGGGGTTGACCCTTAGACAGCCTTACTGACATGCAAACCAAGCCTACAGGGACCTTTTTCAGGTGGATGTAAGCCTTACATAAGCTCAAGTGTAAGAAAATGTTCTAAGAAAGATTCCATTAGAGCCATAATGTAAATAAGGTATGTTTCATAACTTTTTTTTCACTAGGTTCCATTATTTCCAGTTAGTTAGATATCCTTCCAACCCGTCCAAAAAGTTTAACTCTTTCTCTCTAAACTCTTTGAGGTGTTGAGTTCTGCCAGTATTCCCCATCATCATCTTGTAGCTGTGGTTTCCCTGAGTTTTACACATTGCACTAGATTCACTCAGGGGGTTGAAAGACACACCCCAACCAGCTCTGCTTAAGCCCAGCTGTGCTGGCCCCAGCTGTTACCCGGCTGCTGGGCTTAGGCTGACTTAGCCAGCTGAAACTCCAGCAGAGACTGCACCAACTCCTCCCTGAGACACGTCTCACTGGACACCAGGAAGAGATTCACATCCATGTTTGCTTTTTCCTTGGGGAGCTTCCTGGAATGGCAAGTCAGGATCTGACTTTTCTCCAAAAAAAGGTTTACTGATAATGAATGTTCTGTGCCATTCCTTATGTTCTTATCTCCTCCAGACTTCCAGAAGATCCATATTAGGCACCTGTGCATCCTGTATTACAAGAGGAGCTTGCTTTTCAGCAGCAGAACTTTCATGAGGGTCTGTGCAACTTTCAGAGAATATTATTCCATGGGATTGATTGTTTCCACAATTTCTAAAACATTCTGAATCAACATCTTCAAAAAAGTAGAGCAACATTGTTAAGAGTAGGTTTTCTTACAAAAACCAGATTTTGCCATGCAGATTGTGAATGAGGCATTTATAACTGAATCAATAAATGCACCACTCACTTCTGCAGTTAGTTTGACCCTCCAATTTTGATTATTAAATAAATGAACCTACAATAAGATAACAACAACAAAAAAAAAAGACAGAAGACAGGTGGAAAGTTTAAGTGTCTCCCTTAAAACAAATAAACAAGAAAGAAGATATTTGCAAAGATTTGAATTGAAAGATCATGAATGTGAATACAATCTCATTAAATATTGCCAAGAGTTGACCCACTAATGACAACAAGATGAGAACACTGTCGTTGGTTTAATAGGGAGCAAGAGGAGGATTTTTAGATAACGATACACCAGTCTACTGAGTCAGGGCCAGACTCTGCAGGTAATCAAATACCTCCTGCTGTTCTGATGAGCATAAGTAGATCACATCACCTTCTGTGCAATATCATGCTTTACACTTCTCACAATAGCATCTGCTTCTTTAATATATGTGTGTCACAAGGGTTGGGTAGGGAATCCCTGGACAATAATATTTTAGAAGAGCTTTCATTGGCTCTATTTATTTTCCAAACACGTGCAGGTGTAAGAGGCAGAAAGGTTTGGCTCTTAATGCTACAACATTCCTCATCTGCACACCTGCACTTCTGGCTGCTCTTCTCATCAGAATGCTGAGAGTTGGTAACTGGCACTGCTGTATGATTAATTTTAGTGTTTAACATGTACTAGCTCTGTGCATTCACAAGCTAATCAAAGCTAAATAATATGTGGCACTATCCAACTGGCTAAAGCCAGAGAAAATTACATCAAATTCTTACCCCTTTTGAAGTCAACAGAGCTAATTGTGCCAAACAGCATATGTGTTGAGCTTAGGCTTGGTTATAGACTGAATGCAGCTGTAGGACTGACCAATACAGAAAGGGCATTCATCTGGCATGTTGTCTGAACATCCTTCTTTCCAAACCCTCAAGGAGCCATGCTGGATAAGATACTTAAAAATAGTCCTCTCCTCACACAAAATTTTAACATAGCATCTGTTATTTTACCATATTCAACAGCAGCAAGGCCATCCATACACACCAAATCTCTGAAACTCCCACTCCTGTGACAGGCATGTGATACACTGATTCACTCACTCAGGATACCTTGTCACGTGGCTGGACTATAGTGCTTTCTTTTCAGAGCACTTTTTATTGCTCAAGAAACCTGTGAATATTTGTCTACATTTAGAGAGGCACTGGGAACACCTTTCTCAGCAATTGTTTCATATGAGAACTGAATTTGTCTCTCTGCTGGTTTTATTATGCATTTCTCAAAAAAATATCAGTAATCACTCTATTGTCACAACACTTTTGATAAAAAATATTCATATTAGAATTCACCAGCTATGAATGTTTCCCTCCCAGGTTGTATTCCCATGGAGGGTGCTAAGAAGCACTCTCCTTTTAAAGCCAGGCATTTCTTCCAGCATTAATATGGTGCATTCAGTTATTTGTAATTGGGTGCTAGATACCCAGCCAAAAAAGTAGCTACATGCCAATATGCAAGTATTTCTGTGCAAAATACGCTAGAAAGAAATGCAACATGTCTCCTATTTTGTTGATGACACATGCTCCCTGTCTCCAGAGGTGATCAGATCACTCCAGACTAGAGACCAAGCATACCACACAGACATTCGGGATGATTTGGGCAGCACAGAACTGAAGTTTGAGATTCAAGCTAATATGGCAGCAAGATCTCATTCTCATCAGCTGAGGAGGTGGCTGGAGGTAAAGGGTCTGAAATGCAGAAATAAATGTCAAGGTGAGGTATCAGAAAGCATTCCATAAGGCGAATTGCCAACACTTGGAAGAGAATGCCTCTGGTGACTGCAGATCCCTGAGCACTTTTTTAAGCACCAGTAGGACAAGGCTTTCTGGAGAATGGCTGAGGCACAGCTGACCCTGGTTTGGGGCCAAGAGGTTCACCAGATGGCCATTACCAGCTATATTTTACATGTGCATAGGCTTTATTTTAAACCAGAACACCACAAATGGGAATTTAGCCCTCAAAAGAGCACAAGTACTGAGCAATACCTTTGGCTCAGCTTTTCCTCTACCCCTTTTCAACCAGATATTCCTCTAACTCCTTTCAAGCTACGGTCCTTCTTGTATTCCTTGGTCTCCTGGCCTATTTGCATACAGATTTTCAAAGCTCTTCTATGCTTTAGGCTTACATTATCATTTAGTTTTCCAGTCACTCTGCTTGCCAGCTTCTTTACCCTCCATTACCTTGTCTGATAGAATTTAGATTGCTTTTCCAGTATCTACTTCACCGAACCATTTAAAAGTCATTCTTAACCACTCTTGTATTATTTCTACAGCAACTTTCATTTATTATTCTCAAAACTCCTTACATGTTGTACATACAGGTCTAAGATTACGAGTAGAAAAATATATCTTAGGTAGAAGTTTGTTAGTTGTGGAATATTTTGTAGCTTTTTTAAGCAGATGTTTCAACTATCAGTAATAACTTTTTATCATGTCATGAGTACAAAAGACTTCCTGTGCATAAAACCATGAATACAACACAATGATAGGAAGTGCTTGTTATTAACCTTTCTGTGTATTTAGCCATTTATTTAGTATGTTTATTACTGTAGCTGCAGAGAACTGGGGGGTTTTGACATCTTCACTTGAAGGTGTGTCTAAGGCACAAGAAAATATCATCTCAATTGTAATTGTTATCACTTGATAAACAAAGTAACAGAGAAGCAGCACATACAGTACATATATATACTTACATTACATATGTGTGTATGTATATATATACATGGCAGGTACTGGCATGTATAATCTGGGGAGGACTTTTGCATACACAACCTAGGGAGCAGCAGTTACACCAAAGAAGCAGCCAGAGGCAGCTGTGGAACTCAGAAGTGAAAGGGCTAAAGAAAGTACAGGTCAAAGAAGTATCTCCTACAGAACCTGTCATATCCAGTGAAGAGAATTTGGGTGCTCTGAAAATCCTTAAAACTAGGAAAGGGTGCACTGGATGAGATTAAAGGGGTAAGTTCTCATCTTCCTGGATGAACTGCACAGCTGATTGTACAGTAAACATACTGTAAAGATCTTGTAGATGTCATGACAAGATATTAAAACATAATTTTCCCCTAGTATGATCACATTTTTTTAAAAAAAGAAATTTGGAATAGATACAAACACAGCTATCACTGTTGTGTTTATACTTTACCCAGAGAAGTTGTGGATTCCCCATCCTTGGAAGTGTTCAAGGCCAGGTTGAGTGGGGCTCTGATCAACTTGTTCTAGTGAAAGGTGTCCCTGCTCATGGCAGAGGGTGGTGGATAAAGTCCTTTCCAACCCAAACCATTCTATGATTCTGTGAAATTCTGTGTGTAGTGCTGATCTTGCCATTTCACAAAGGATGTAAAGAACCTGGAGAAGGGAATCTGCACGGATGACTGAAAGTATGAGCAACACTAGTATGTATGTGAAGAGGCATCAGACTCTTGAGCTTGGCTGAAGGATGACTAAAGAGGAGTACAATATAGTTCTATGAAATAATTGGTAGGGAGAAACTAGCTCATGAATTTGGCATGCAGAAAAGCTAAAACATTTTAAAAGAAACACTGCTTAGTATAATTAAACTCCACATGAG